TTGGAGTAGCAGGCTAGCGAGGATCTTGGCCAACATCTTGATCAAGAGTTCGGAGAACACTAACCACATGTTTGCTCTTTATTTGTTTATTTCTTTGATCCCGGTCTTGACAAAGAAGACCCTGTCAATTCGGAATAACTATGGAAAATGTGGAGAAAACGCTTAGTCGTCAAGAATTTGGGGATAAAGAAGACATGATCAACAAGGATTTCGGATTACAAGATCATGTCGTGATTCTTGGGATTCTACTATAGTCGTTAGTATTCACATGTATAAATATATATAGTCCTAGCCTCAAAATCACACACACAAACACACTCTCTTTACTTGTATTTTGCGACAAAAACTACTACACTTTGTACTCAATTATTCATTTTAATAAAATTATCAAGGGGGCCCGGATACTTCGAGAGGTTTGGAGTCATCAGAGATCAAGGGTTTTCCTCATAACTCTTGCGTCTTGCATCTCAGAATCTTGGATATCATTCTGAATAAAATACCACAACCCTTACTAATATGTGTATGTATGTATATATATATATATAGATATATATAATATAGATAATATAATATATATATATATATAGATATATATATATACTAGTTTATAATCCGTGGGAACCACGGTTATAAATTAATTAAACTTTTATAATAAAAGTTATATAAATTAATCAATTATTTTAAATAAATCATTTTAAATAAATTATTAATTAAGAGATATATCAAAAATTTTAAAGTTATATAACTTTAAATTTAACATATAATTAGAAAATGTAAATTTGAATTTTGAAAGGAGTTGCCTAATATATCTATCTACATGACACATGGTATAATATTAATGATGAGTTATATTAGAGTGACACTTGGTAAAATGATATTAAAACTATCATTATTAGAATATATATATATATATATATATATATATATATATATATATATATATACTATTCTTTTGAATGTTTTGACAACTACTTTTTGAGGCATTTTTAATGGTAATTTTTTATAATTTTTTTTTATTATTTCAAAGAAATAATAATAAAAAAATAAAAAATAAATAAAACTTTATATAAGTAGAGATAAGAGTTCTTTTTAAAAGTCACTCCAACCATTTACTAAACTTCAACATTTTAATCATTTAAAAGTTGTTTTCTATTTTAGACTTTACATTTATAATAATTTACACTCTACTTATATTTAAATTTTTTAATTTTATTATTTTGTGATAATTTAATCAATTTAATTAAATATTTTGTATTGAAATTTTGTATCAATAAAAAGTATTTTTAAACTTTCAAATACAAAAATATCAAATATTAAAAAATATTATTAATATATTATATTATAAGATTTTTATTTGATTAAATATTAACGTCAACTAATATAACTTTTGAAAATATGACGCACTATATGAGAGGACTTTTTACAACATTTAAGTTAATTAAGGAAAATCAGTTAATTTGAAGAAAATATATTCATTATTATTATCAATGTTTTGAAAATAACTTGTTAGTGATATAACTTTATAAAATATATTCATTAATATTTTGTGTATTTACTTAAATATGTTAACTATTAAAAATTTAAAAACAAATGTATCTAAAGATACAAAAAATACAAAGTCTAGATTAGTAGAGTGTTTGGTGAATCTTCGGCAAATCTAGATTATTAACCCAATTTGTTTTCAAATTCGAACCGACTTTGTTCAACTCCAACAATTTCAACTATATGGTTAGAATGAAACAACAATGAGAGTATAGTATGCGTTTTTTCTTATAGCATGCCGAATGTAGGAGCATGAATCACAAGGAGACTCAAAACTTGGGGGAGTTTCAATCCATTGGAGTTGTGATTTCTTTTTTTCGATGAGAGTCTGGTGATCGTCAATGTGTGTGTGTGTGTGTGTATATATATATATATATATATATATTATAGAGAGAGAGAGAGAGAGAGAGAGAGATGGCGGGGCTGCATTTTATTTTATTTTTACTTTAATTTTTTATTACAAATTAATAAAAAAAAAATAGAAATTGTAATTTAGACGAATCGGTAAGTAATTTAAGCATACGAATCGTCTCTGCATCAAAATAAAACCACATTGCTAATATGGTGTGAGAAAAAAAAAGATGGAATGAGAGTTCAACTTTCATACAAACACAATGTCCATTTCTGTAATTTATTCAGAATTAACTTTATCTTGGCTGTTATCAAAACGGTTGCAAAAAATTCCAAATGTGAAAATTGGTTTTTATAAAACGTTTCAAACTTACATTGGGATGCACTGTGACTATTCTATGTCTTTATTCCATAATGGCTAGGGATCAAACTTGCTCCCCTCTATCGAGTTCACAAACACGAGAACAATTTTTGTGCTATGAAGGCCTCCTAGCGCTGAGGATTAAAACTCTAATACAAATGACAAGTACACTGTGAATAAGAAACAAAATCCTTTAGATCTCACTATAAATTGCTAATAGTGGAGACGCAGTTAAGATTTCCAAAAACAAGAATCATATTTTCATATTAGATAATGGAGCGTCCAGTTTCCCAAATATCAACATCGCACCCTTTTCAACTCCAACGACAAAAGGGCCTTATAAGACACCTTTTTCCATGCCCTAGGAAATAAGAGGGGTTCCTTTTGTGGCAAAACCCATCTTCTTTCTAGTTAAGCTAATTCTTTCTTTAAATCCCTTTAAGTGATGTCCAATTATCACAACTATTTATAAATGGTTAATCATATTCTCCACTACGTTTCAGTAGTATGATCCTAAAATAAGCAAAGTTGGCAATGCACTAGTGACAATAATATGTTATTATTGTGCACGTACATACACTAACACTATTAAGCGTGGAGAGAATGGCCATATTTCCATCCCTCCATCCCTCTACACATATCAGCATCACATTATCTCTCTTTTAATTTTATCCCAAAACTATGGAAATTGTCATCTTTCTATCCTGTGACCATTCTATCCAACCTAAGGGGTCTTGTGTACTTAATTTATATGGTGGTTGCTTAAAAACAACTTTTGCATAAATTATACCACCAAGCCAAGTAACTTCCGCTTTATGCTTAGTTTTTTTTATACTAATCATAGAAGTAATAACATATAAAACATAGAAATTTTATGTTTCCTGTTGTAAAGTAGCGTCTTAATTACCTTTAAACACAGGCTAAATATTGTCAACTCGAGCATGCCATTGATCATTATCTATGGCCCACCGAAAGCCCTACACATTAATATTAAGTTAGTAGGTTAGATTAAGTGTTAAATTAATCTCATTAAATCAAAAAGAAATAATACCTGAACAGCAATTATGGGGACAACCACTGAATAACGTGTATCAACAAAAGCAGCAAACCATGCATGCATTCCTGCATCACATATCAATAAATGAGTTATGGAATTAAAGGCATAATAACTCATAATAAAAGAATATATATATATATATATATAATATATATATATATATAATATATATAGAGATATATATATATATATAATAGAATATATATATAGATATATATAGGCTTAGGTTATTCTATTCTAACTAATTATTGTGTGGATATCGTATGCTATGAGAATGATAAGAGAAATATGTTGTTTGATAATCAATACGTTCAATTTACATAACTATTGTCATTAACACACATTCTCACTAATTAAATTGTCTATAAGGTTATTATACACTTATTATTATTCTTATTTTTGTCAGAATGTTTGTCACAATGTTTATTGGGTCGTATTCTGTCAGAATGAAACGATGAAAAACGATGTGTGAGAACAAAAATAAATAATAATTAGCAAGAATGCACGAAAATGATGAAATTGTTTTTGTCAGGTTGAACGTAGGCGCATTGCAAACAACTATTCTCTTAGTATTATCATAGCATACGATAGTGCACAATATTACTTAGAAGACTTGAACCAGCTCTCTCTCTCTCTCTCTCCAGCATACTCTCTCGCCTCAGCTCTCTCTCTCTCACTCTCTTCTCTCTCTCTCTCTACGCTCTCTCTCCCTCCCTCGCTCTCTCTCTCTATATATATATATAATATATATAAATAATATATATATATATATATATAGATATAATATATATATATATATATATATAGATATATATACTATATATCTCGTAATTTCTAGAAGATGTGTTTTAATAAGATATTAAAATTTGATTCCTATCTTGGAATGGTCTATATCTTCTCTTGCGGTTAGATAATCTGCCAACTTTAAAAGGTCCCACACCTAAAACATAATAAATGTTAAACATTTGGGTATTAAAAGTATATAATGAATGTCATTTGAAAAATTCAAGAGCGAAGAAGTATAACCGTGTCATATATAAATGGCATTGTATCACCTCTTTTCCATGATGAAACAAGAGCCTGGATCCAGAATATATGAAATTGAAGTTATATTTATTCTTTGAGATAATGAAAGATAATTAGTATATTCTCCTTTGTACTCTAAAAAATCTACTCAACTATAGCAACGAAAAATTGGTTTCTTTATGAATAACATTGCTAGAATTGGATAGATTTTTTTCAAAGTAGGATGCTATAGTAAATAAATATATGAAAGTATGTTGTTATTTCTTATTTTCTTGCATTTAGCCCTATTCTTTTTGGCATAAACCAAATAAAAATAAAGAAAGGTTTCAGTGTTCACATCTTGATAGGCGGTGTGGGTTTTGGCACGTTCTCCATGGTAACGAGAATCAATGGCAATTGCAATATATCCACGTGAAGCATAATCCTGAATTGAAAGGAAGAGCTCGTTAGATCAAAGTCTTTTGTTAAATGAAAAATGACCATTCTAGCCTTGTAATTTTATATTATACCTCAAGTGAAGGGCGTAGCCACTCTTTGTTTGCATTTGATGGATGTAGAAAAAACAACAGCTGGTCTTTTCGATTGCGTGCTTTCTTTCATGCTCAAAATGAGGACAGGCAGTCGCCCTTGCTCTCCTTCCTAATTTTAATAAAATAATAAGTTTCATCATATTAAACTTTATACATTATATATTCATATTACAAATTTGGTCTTGTTTTCCATCTTCCCAAGTATGTAGTTATTTTCTTAGATATCTTATAAGAATCATATATTCATATTAAACTTTATCCGGTCAACATTCAATGAGAAAAAGGAAACATGGTCTAAGTTACCTCAGTGGGTAAGTAGAAGTTTTCTTCATTGAGCAGTGCTTCCGGGTAGGATTTCATTACCTAATAGTGTTCAAATAAGATAACTTCTAAAAAATATTAACAGAAAGGTAAAGTATATGTCAAGTAATGTCCACCTCAAAGTCAATCGGTATTCCCTGATATAAGGGTTCCACCACGCGTTTTGCAGGTAGTGTCTGAAGTGCATGTAGTCTCTGAAGTGGAACTAGAAAAAAAAAAGTAGCAGAAATATACTCCCTCCGTCCCAAAATTATTGTCCACAAACAAATAACACACAGATTAAGGAAGCATTATTATCACTAACTTTATATAATAAAATGATAGTTTTATCCTTAACTTGCATTTAATGTTTCATTAAATGCTTAGTTGGTTAAGTAATAATGAGGGGATATTTTGGTAAAAATGTTATTTATTTTTAGAAGCAGACTATAATTTTGGGACAGAGGGAGTAATATGAATCCACATTTTGACAAATAAAGAGATGAAGTCATATTTCAATGAATTTATTGATAAACATAATAGTGGTTGGATAAGAGTGATAACAGTAGTTATTGATGAAAAAAGTTAAACTAAGTTAAACTTATTTCCTCTCCTAACAAGACAACGAGAGATAAAGAACAAAAGTTTGGTGTTGTTTCTTTTTTACCTAATGGGGTCATGACTTAATCGGTAAGCTAGTTATGTTTCTTTTTAAGTTGATGCAAGAGAATAGCTTAATTGAAAAAGTTAGGGAAATGAGGCCTTCCCAATTAAGTCCTAACATTTTATAAATTTACACCAGCTTAGTTTTTCCTTCTCAGTTACTTTATTTAGACAACCATTAATGGACAACAAAGAAACATGGTGCTACAATAGAAACAGACAAGTTTTGCACTTTTACTTTGGACAATCAAAAGAGTTATTTTATAATGAAAGCAACTGGCCTTATACTACTCTTACTAGATTGAGGAAACTGTCGATATTCATAAAAAAATTTAGATACATAAAACACACAATTTAGCTCGGATCTCCATAGCCACTATCTTAGCTCAAAAGAAATCTACTACGACTAGCTGTCTAGCAGCAATGTCTATCCCAGAACTACTCCTTATTTTTCTATATTTTGTAATTATTTTAGGAAAAGAACTCACAGGGTTGTATGAGAGTAAGGGAGAGTATGATACGAGCCCAAATATTCACAACAAATCAACATCAAAATTGACCAAATCTATGAAAGCAGGTTACCTACAGGAGAACGGCGACTATGAAGAACTTCAAGGAAGTCAGAACGGAGCTTGGCTGCTGATTCGACGGTATCCATCTTCTCGAAATTCCGACATGCAACGGTGACTTGAACACGTTGATATTTGTCGTGTGCTTATACTTTCTAGTAGAGTAATTGCGATGAGAGTAATGGGACCCGCAAGGACCTCCTGGAAGTGGTGGTTGTAATTGTAGGTGATAGAGTGTGATAGAGAGAACAAATTACTAAAATGGTCCATGTGGTTTGCAAAAGTTTCATGTTTGGTTCCTAAGTTTTCTTTTGCATTTTGACCGTCCCTAAGCTTTGACTATATTGCGTTTTTCATCCCTCATAGAGATGAACAGACTATATTGTCCTTTATAGTTATATTTTTTATTTTTTATATTATTAGTTTATTATTTATATAATATAAATTAGGGGTGGAAAATCGGGCCATCGTATCGTGTTTTTGTTGACACGACAATGTTTTATGTAACACGAACACGACACAACACGATGTTGTGTTTTTTTTAATTAACACGAAAACGAACCAATTAATAAATGATAAACACGACACGACACGACAAAGATAACATAATATAACAATTAGTTTATTTAATGAATATTTAATCATACATAAGACGACAAACAAATGCTAAAACGTGTCAATTTCATGTCGAATTTTGATCACGAACATGACACGACATCGTCCGCTGATCTTCACCATCGAACGCCGCTAGAAGCATGTTGCAACCAATACAGTCATATTTATCACTGTCGAAAGGGAGATATGAAGCAGTGAGGGATGGAGATCTGGTTCATTAGTCACTTATCTTCTTCTCGACGCCCCATCTCCACTAAAAGATTCAGTCATCATTACATCCGCTCCCTCCTCGCTCCTCCATCTTCGTCATCGACTGCATCTGCTCCTTCGCTCATCCTTCTCTGCCATCGATGGTGGTTCACTTTACTTTTTCTTCCTCCATTCTTATCATTGTGGCGAGGTTGCTTCATGGCACTGTAGTGGATCTGATAGCCATGGCTTCATGATACTATGACAGTGGTGGCTTCAGGGCGACGGTGGCAGCATATCTGGAAGCTTTTTGTATTTAGTAGTGGTTTCTAGGCAACGAAATGATAGACGTTTTTAGGGGTGGTGGTGTTTCCGACAAGATAAGAGACGAACGATGGTGGTGGTGGTGATTGTTTATTGTTTCTCTGATGAAGCTTCCGGTGGGAGGGCTTCAGAAGTGGTGTTAAATTAAAATAAGAGAACGGTACATGAGAACTGGGGGTATAGCGTTTTGGGAGGGTTCCACTTTAAGTTTATTTAATCATTTATATTCATTAATAACAAACGAATAATAAAAAAACTAAAAAAATATAAAGAAAAAGGACAATATGGTCTTTTAATCTCTACGAGGGGATGAAAACACAATAAAACCAAAAACTAGGGACCGTCCGAGTGCAAATGAAAACATAAGAATCAAACGTGAAATTTTTGCAAACCAAAAGAACCATTTCAGTAATTTGTTCTTTAGGATATGCAATGAGTAAATTACCAAAAACGTTTGTTTCATTTAACATATGCATCGAGTAAATTACGAAAATCGTTTGTTTCATTTAGGACATGCACTAAATAAATTACGAAAATCGTTTGTTTCATTTAGGATATGCATTAAGTAAATTACGAAAATCGTTTTTGAGGCAAACAGCAAACTCTAAAGTCGAAACCAGATAGTTTTTCCTTTTTTGTTCCAAACAAGTGGCAAAGGTCCCAAATATCATTTAGGCTATGCGGTTTGGTTTTAATTTCCATTATGTTATGCTTACATGACATCTTTTAACATATGTTATAATATGTCAACATTGTTATGATTTCACGTGGTGTTAAGGCGTTTTGCCCTCTTAACATTTTCCAACACCGGTTAAGAAAAGAACAATCAACTTTTTTTTATTCGTTTTTCCTTTTTAAGTGGTGTGATGGTGTGGTGCGTATTTCCTAGCAAAAATGGAGTCGTGTGGAGAATGACATGACATATGATCATTCCTACAAGTTTTATGAAATATATTTGTAAAACGGTGACGTTTTGAGCTTCGAGAAGAGGGTCGTTGTAACGACCCAAAAAACAAGGGTAAAAATTTCATTTTTAATATAGCTAAAACATTGATACCATTTATTTCGAACATTTCAATTATCATTAAGTAAAACATTTATCAGAGTTCATCCCAAAATTATTCATTGCGGAAATCATAGGTGTGTGCACTGCGATCAATCCGAGCTCTTCATTTCCAAATCGATGATACCTGAAACAAAAACTGTAAACCGTAAGCACGAAGCTTAGTGAGTTTCCCAGAGCATACCCCACACAATTCACATAACACATATCATATTAGCTATAAAGCTACGCATACCACATAATTCATGCATACATAAACCTGTAAGGATGTCATGGGCTACCCCACATGGTCTTTACCTAGGAATGTCATGGGCTACCCCACATGGTCTTACATCCAATGTCATGGGCTACCCCACATGGTCTTTACCTAGGAATGTCATGGGCTACCCCACATGGTCTTACATCCAATGCCATGGGCTACCCAAAATGGTCTTTACCTAGGAATGCCATGGGCTACCCCACGTGGTCTTACATCCAATGCCACGGGCTCCCCCGGGGTCTTCCATGCAAGTATCACGAAGACAACTAGCATAACACATATCATATAATCACTAGCATACCGCTTAGCATAAAACTAACTATCATACCACATATCTCTACTACAGCTAGTGTAACACATAACATAAAATGGGCCGGCCTTGGTGTCTTAGACCCATTGGTATGGTGAGAAGACTCACCTCGCACTGACGAAATCCCGCAGACGAAACTCCATTTGCTGGACTAACAGAGTAAGACCCAGTAAGTCCCGACGCACTACTCCAACTCAACTGCCTGTAATCATCATGCGATTAACCTGTCACGACCTTGAAATACCGTAAATACCCTCCGGGTCAACCCTAGTCAACCCTGATCAAAGTCAAAGTCCACAGTCAAGGTCAACAGTCCATGTTGACCTCAACTCGTCGAGTATAACTAGCCACTCGCCGAGTTCCTTGCCTAACTCGTCGACTCGCCGAGTCAATAGAGTGACTCGCCGAGTCCCCTCCAAACGCTCGACCGAAAACCCTGGCCGGAAACCCCATGGCCGCAAACCCTTAGCCGTAAACCCGACTCGCCGAGTCACTAGGCGACTCGACGAGTTCCTTTAATCAATTTCGTTTCCGGTCCTTCACAGTGGAATCTGGAGTCCCAAACTTCCGATCCAACCTTCTCTATCACAGATGCCATGTAAAGTTGCAAACTTTACGTGCATGCAAGGCCTCATAATGCTATAAGGTCAATATTATGCTCTCAACAAGGTTTGTGTGCATAGGAAGGGTCAAACTACATCAAGGGAGCAACTTTATGACTTTGGGGACCTAAAAAGGTCCAGATCTGAAACTATATCCCAATGATACGTCCAGATCTAAAATTGGACTCTATTTGCCCCAAAATGGACATGAACTAGAAAGATGAGAGATCTAAGAATCTATACATCAAGGTAACGACTTTTTACCTTAAAATGATGCCCAATGTAGTGTAGATGCCGGATCTACTGCTTCCCCTCTTGTTCCTTCTTCTAGATCTCTTCTTCAACCTTCTAATCTTGCTAAACCAAGCTCTCACTCTCACTCAAGGGAGTTCACGGCCGCAAACGTCCTTCTCTGGGATAATATGGTGCCAAAGGAGGCTACTAGGGCGGATAATGACGTTTATATATTGGGAAAACCCCGAAACTAGGGTTTTCTTCTAACAGTTCGGACTCACCGAGTCGACCCTCCGACTCGCCGAGTCAGTCCCAACCCGCGTCTATGATATCACGACCCTACTCGACAAGTTGGACTCCCAACTCGCCGAGTCCATGCACAAACACCCAACAAAAGCAAATTCCAATCAATACTCGAAACATGTGTTACAAGTCTCCCCCACTTGAACTAGACTTCGTCCTCGAAGTCTGTCGTCGAAAGAAAATCTGGGTAATGCGTCCTCCGCAGTCTTTCCTGATGCACCCCTTGCCCTATCAGGGCCAAATCCGGATTGATTCACTATACCTGGTCTTCCGCCTTTCTTCCTATATCGGGTGCCACTCTTATAGAACGAAGCCTTGAGGGCACTTCAACCATGATGAAGCTTGAGTATCCAACTCTTGCCAACATCGGCAACCCTTTCTGAGCCCAACGAGTACCGACACCCGTCATCTCGAAGGACACAGCTGTCACCCCCTGCATTCCATGATCGTCTACTACAGCAACAGGACTTACCCGCACCCGACCCTCTCCAATGTTGATCGAATCGACGTTATCAACTGACTGGATTCACCCACCATAACCGAATGCCATTCCCTTACGTTGGAATATCGGTCTCTCATTCGGTTGCTGAACTGACTAGCAACCTCACACTCGCCCCACGCGACCTTCGAAAGGCACCTCATCTAATAATAATTGTCTCGGCCATACCGCCACTCCTGGTTCTGTCAACTCTTCTGACACATCTAATCACCACAACCTGACAACCTGTTGTCACTGAATCCATACGATAGATCACGCTACCCGAATACGGTAGTCTTTCGTCATTCCCATTCTCCTTTGTCCTGCCGTTTTCTGATTCCAACATGTCGCGGCCTTATAACTGATGAAACCAGCCCGGGACACATCATGATGGCTTATGCTACCATCGAACCAAACCCATTCATTACCCTGGTATCCTGCAGTTGATGCCCTTGGCATCCTTATCCTCCCAAATCTCATCCCACCGAAACAAATCCAACGCGAGAACATACGCGAACCCCGATTCGGAATCCTTTCCGAAAACGAATCGATACCCTGCTACTACCTCGAGATCCATAATGCACCATAACTTCCGACATCCCTTACCTGACCGGTAAATAGATACCCTCAGCCGATCCCCGAGACTACCAGTCTCGCAACCGGTCCAACCACCAGGTTCCCAAGAGATCAAATATCAGGACTTACCCATCCG